GGAGCCAATGTTTGTGCTGACTCTCTGTGGGGTGGCCTGGCACCTGCCCACAATCCCTGATGGCAAGATTATTCCAAAAATTGCATCAATTAAACTCTGTATGTTTTCCAATAATTTTTAAAGGAACTAATTTAATGTACCTTTGAAAACTGTATCCTTTTACCTTTTAAACCTGCAGCTCAGAAAGGTCCATATCTATACACTCCTCTCACAGCAGTCTGGCACCAGAAGGACACTTGTGACTTGCTGTAACACAAACCAGATCTAGGGATGAAGCTCTTCCTTTACTTTTCAAGGCATTACCTTTAGGTGCTTTTTGATGTGTGCTCACAAACTTTGCTCCCACAGAGCCCAAACCTGCTCCTTCTGTTCACAGTGAACACATATTACTGTCGTATTCCTGAGCAGTTCATTTGCCATCAAAGCCTTTACTCGCAGAGTTTGCTACTGCACATGAGGAATATATCTGGCAGGCCCTGACCCTGATTAGTATCAGATGTTTGCGTCTCCTAGAAACACAGTATTCCCACAGGGACAGCAATGTTTGGGTTTGAGAGGAGGCCCCTCTCTTTAGAAAGCCTGCTTTGAGAAATGAGGCTGGTTGAGGAGAACCTCAGTGAAGGCAGAAGAGAGCACATGACGCTTCCAGGACAATGCTCAGATTTAAATGAGACCCTATAGTGATTTGCGTAAGAAAGGATTGTGTTTGTCGAACAAGCGATTCAAATACATAGAGGCAATCTCTCTGCTGCTGACAAATGATCCTAAGGTTCAATGGGTGACATCTATTAGCCTTTTTCCTTGATGGAATACCTCTTTAAGATGCATCACGGTGCACCATGTGTACACCTCATACATCTTTAGAATTCTCTGCAGTACTGTCTTAACCTCGTCTACCAACAATATGCTACTGGCTGTATCTTATTTGTGTTATACAAATAGCAGGTTATAAATGCTCTATAAATCTACAGGCTGCAACTGAGATTGGGCCTCTTTTGCCAAGTACTATCAAAATATGTAAAATACGAAGCAATTCTGGATTTCAAGGCCATTTCCAGACACAAGCAATACAAGGGAAAACAAACCACAGTGATGGATAACGTGCTGAAGTTTAATCAGCAGACCAGTGACAGCTGAGAGTGCAAAACAAATTATCTTGAGCCTAAGCCATTAGAGCAATCTACCTATGACACTGAGAGTGCTCTTGGGTTTTGTGATTCCAGGATACGCTGTGCTTGATATTTATGCAGAAACATGCAGAACTTCTGGCCAAGTGTGAGGGGCTTTGTGTTCCAGAAGAGTAATGGGAACGGAATTGCCACTCCCAGATGCGTACTTTTCCTAAGGACAGTCATTGTAGGGCCAAAACCGGCACTTTTGCCTCTTGTGTAAATATATTATGTAAAATATATACTTTAATACAATAGTTAAAATGCTCTATGTTGCCTGGAGCCTGTTGTTCTATTGTCTTTAGTGACCTCTCATCTGAAGCATGGATCAGAGCCAGGCAGAGGCTGAAGCGTGTGTGGTACGGAGAGATGAGAATATGAAATGGCAAGTCCCATTGTGTCCCTCTTTGCCTCCCCGTGAACAGCGTTTAATTCTGTTTTCAGTTGTCAGAACAGATTAGGTAGATAAATTTTGGTATCAATAAGTGGTTTGTCTGATCACTTAGGTGCAGAAAATAGGTTTCATAGAGGAAACTCTCAGATGCCTGATTAAACAATTTGTGTAGCACTTGTTTACAGAAAGTCAGATTTTAAGAAAAAGTATTTGAACAGTACAAAAATAATTGAATTAACAAGAGTCCCAGGGAGAAAGGATTAATTTTTCCAGCAGGCTGTCTGTGTGCATGAAGGCTGGGATATCCATTCCACATAGGGCAGGTCTTTTCTATCAGACCAGCAGTGCTCAGAGGTGTCCCTAGGAAGGCTGT